CCTATAAAGTCATCTCATACCATCCCAGAGATAAAATTTAATGTCTCTGGCGTGTTTAGTGCTTGATTTATCGCGCTTTTAGTAGTTTTTAACAGTACCGTTATATGGGGAGTGGGCGGAGTTGCCACCCGATTTCACCCATTTTCACACTGTAGGTAGAGGTTCTACAAGCATTTGCTTCCAATTAATTTTTTTATTATTGCACTAGCGGTTTAGGAGATATGCACATTAAACCTATTAGGGGCGGGAACACGCCCACTTAAAAAAAATTTTAACTGCAGATGCCCCTCCCTATTCTGATCCTGTACACCAAATAAAAGTTTTTGAATAATGGCGTTTTGTGGGCGTGGCAGTGGTCCGATTACGCCCATCTGCAATACCAACCGTCTCACGGTATCAAGTAACATGTCTACCAAGTTTCATAAAGATATCTCAATTTTTACTGAAGTTAGAGCCTGCACGGACGGACGGACAGACGGACAGACAGTCACCCGGATTTCAACTCGTCTCTTCATCCTGATCATTTATATATACATAACCCTATATCCAACTCGATTAGTCTTAGGTGATACAAACAACCGTTAGGTGAACAAAACTATTATACTCTGTAGCTACAGGTTGGAAGAGTATAAAAACGAAAAAGTACCAAAATCAAATGTTGAACGTCAAAGGAAATTTCGTCAACGAAATGTAGAAAAATCGTGGATATGTAATTTGATTTTAATTTTGAGTCTAGCACCCGGTGAATATAACAGGCCAGTCAGTATTTTAATGGATAAACATGCGGAAGAACCATCTTTTCCGACAATTTACGGCGGTCAGTTTCGAACATACAGATATGGTTTTATTGTTACATCATTTATGCAAGCTACTAGTGAACTTCGGCATACTGATAGGCGTGCTACTGACCCACAACACCTGTTATACATCGCCGCTAAAATCATGAGGTTGTGAGTTAGTAGATGTTTCAACGTTACGTTTGTGTATGTTGGGCAAGGTACTTCAATTACGAAAGAGACCATTTAATCAGAAGAATATATAAATAATTGTTTAGAAACAAATCTCGCATTTCTTCGCATATAATTGCATAACTTGATAAAAAATGCTATGCAATAGCTTTACCGCGGCAGTCCCCGAGTGTCTCACGTTCTTTTTTTTTATATTGACAGTAGATGGTTTCTTGAGGAATTAGGAAAGAGAAGACTTGACGTAATCTTGTCGTATATTACGAAAGGCAGGACAGGAGTTCAAAATGCGCTCCACAGAATTTGTTGAATTGTTGCATAACGGGAGCAAGGCGTTAGATTGCGTTCTAGTATATGTTGGTGCGTTAAAATACAGTGTCCTCAACGGAGACGTGTGAAAATTTGTATCTGTGGGATACTGCATGTAGGAGGGTATACTGCTTTTCTGTTTATTTATGAGTCGGAAGCGGTTGTCATAAGTACACCATGCCGCTTTCGCTTTAGACTTTAAGAAATTTTTAACGAATCGCAAGATGTCGTTGCTTTCATAAGTTCTCACGTGAATACTTGTACTTATTGAGGACGTGACCCACTGGTTAGGTTCTTTTATGGCGTATGCTTCTGCGGTAAAAAACAACATAATTTAGGTGTAAGGTGAATATCAAGTTCATGAACGTACTTTATAATTATGTGTATTGTTGAGGGGAACTTGAGTATTCCTTTGTGCCGGGTAGCCGTAGGTACGTTGTTCAGCAGACTCGGGTTAGAGCCGTGATATACCTTTGATATCAGCCGCAATATGTTAGTCCAGTCTTTCGTTAATATGTGGCATTCCGGATTCAGCGAGAATACTTTTGGTGCTGGAAGTTGAAAATGCCCTAAGACTATTTCTTACTGCCATGTGACTAGTCGCATAAAGCTTCTTTAACTCACTACCGCTATGATGTCCGTAGATTGGAAGTCCATATTCAATAATGAGTAATAGGAAAGATCTCACAATGTTGATAAGTATTAAAGGATGAATAAAAGAATGTCGTGAAGATAAAAACTTAATTATACTTAGTATTCAAAAAGTTTTTTCTTATGTAAAAATGCTGATATTTTTTGATCTTAAACTAGTCCTAAAAATTTAATTTCATATGCACATATTATATGTATGTTCTTAAAGGAGTTATTAATATTAGTTATTATTATTATTAAAATTATTTCTTACTTTATTATTGTAAGATATTACATGTATCGAAAGATAGCTTAGCGCCTGATGTGAGAGACTAGTGGGATATATTATTAAATATTTCCGTAAAATTTGAAAATATCACAATGTCATCTGCGTACATACAATGGTCGACTGGGTAATTGGATAGTATCTGGCTGATTTCGGTAAATATATTTATGAATATGACCACAGATAAAGGGGAACCTTGAGGAACTCCACTTTCTAGTTTCAAACAGTGAGAAAATTTGTTGTGGGCTTTAACACGAAATCTTCGGTTTGCTAAGAAATTTTTCAGTAGATTGTATATTTTGTTCCTAATTTCAATTTTTCTAATTGTTGTAGAACTTTATGAAACCCAAAACGGTCATACGCTTTTTCAAAGTCTAAGCTCAAGCAAGTAACATGCCCCTGGTTACAGATAATTTGGAGGAAAAGCGCTCGAAGTGTAAAAGGGCGTCTATTGTACCTTGATTTTTTCTGAATGCGACTTGGTTGTGATTGATAAGTCTATTCTTCTCTGCATACCACATTAATCGTTTGGAGATTATTTTCTCCAAGACCTTCCCTTAACAGAAAAGTAGCGAAATAGGCCTATAGTTCCAAAGTTTTGATGAAGATTTTCCAGGTCTCGATATAGGAATGACTTCAACTATTTTCCAACTTTGAGGATATACTCGTCTGAAGGTATTTTCTTGTAACGATTTACTATTCCTTTTTTTAACGTTTTGTGGGATGTTTCTTAACATGGCATAGGCAATCCTGTCTAAACCAGGTGTTTTACCTCTGGAGTTGGATATCGCGTCCTCAAACTTGTCAGTGCTTATATTTGATTCTAAATTTAGCGCTGAATTACTAAGATTATCGTTAGGTAAGAGGTTATGGCTCAGATATTTTCGCTTTTCAGTCACGAACTGTTTGGTAGAAGTAAAGTCACTAGAATATGAGCCCTCCACTAGGATATTCAGGTCGTTTGTTAATCCAGATTGGGTGTTTAAGTAATTGATTGTAGTAATAGGTTTTTTTTAGGGTCTTAACATATATCTCGCCAAACATGTTGAAGAGAGTTTGTGGAGTTGATATTTTCAGTAAATTCTATAACACAAAGTTTTTTGCCTTTTTGGTTTGTCATTTAAAAAAAACATTATCGCGTTTATATATAATATTAAGAGGTCAGAAGGTTGCGTGTTTTTTTGTATTTATACCAGCTTTTCCGTTTTGTGATCTAAGGTTTGCTAACTCACTATTCCACCATGGTTCATTTCGGAGTTGATATGTATTTTTAGTTTGAGGTATGGTGTGCAAAAGAACGTTTTATTTTTCGTACAAGTGCAGAATTATTAGAAACACTGAGTTTGTTGGATATTGATGAGCAGAAATCTTTTTTCAAATTATCCTAATTGGCTTTATTTATTAGAAAAATAGGTTTAAACTTTTTTATAGACTTGTCTGGGTGAAGTCCGATATCTATCATGAAAGTGAAGGGATCACTACCATGGAGGTCACTAAGGACCTTTCAAGAACATAATGGAAACATTTTAGTGAAACATATTGTGACATCTAGATGAGTGAGTGATTGATGAGTAGAGAAGTGTATAGTACTGCCATCGTTTAAAACTATGAGATTGCTGTCTTAAATTTTTGGCTCCATGAGTTAAAATCCCTCAACCAAACTAAAGGATTTTGGGATTTTATTAAAATATGTAAAATGTCTTAGCTAGAGAAATTTTGTTTAAGTGGGATCTAGGTATTATTTATTATTATTTTTGGATTAATTAGTTGGCTTACGATAAGAAAGGACGACGACCAACAATTGGTAGACTTTGATTTCTATATATGTTTATTGCTGCTCCATTTTACTTTTGTTTTGTATTTTAAAATATCTTTGGATTGCATAGGATTTGACAAACATGGTCTAACCTTAACTGAATGCCATGTGACATCTATGTGATTGGGTAGTTGGTACTAGTCAAAAGTATGAATGTAAGAATGAACTTTTCGGCGGTTGATTTGTCTTTTAGTAATAAGCACAGACTTCCGTCGCATAATTCTGTGATTTTGATAATTTCTTTGCATACCAATTTTAATGCAGTATGAATGGCAAAGCAGTTACACCTATTTAATGGTTTATTAATATGAACGGACGATATTACAACGTATTTTAGATTTTTCACTTCTATTTCTGAAAGATTGGGAAAAGGTTCAAATTGTTTTTATTTTATTTTTTTCCGTTTTGGTTGGGGGACAGATGCCAGCAAGGCGAATCTGTTATCTCTGAGATTGGGGTCTGGGGGCCATTGTTTCTTATGTTCCAAACTATAAATTAATCAAACTACAAAAAAATATTTCTGAAAAAACATTTCCTGAGAAATAACGTAGACAGCTAGTATATTAATAAAATTGATTAGGTATGCCTTGTAATATAAGATACCAAATATTATATAATTGTAATATATTCGCAGTTTCTACAAATAATGAATGTTCAATTGTTGAATATAAAGTTTTGTGAATACCTAAAAGAATTTCCAAGGCTTTGATCCTTGAAAATTTCGGAATAATAATAAAATCGTACTTAGCCCTTCCTTCGTTATTAATATAATACAAAGATTTTCCAACACCTGAAAATATACTCCCGAGTTTAGTAGCTACAATACTTACAAAAAAGAAATATGTTAATAATAATAGGTTTTTTGTATTTATTGAGAATAAGAGCATTGATATATCAGTTCTTATTTCGTTTCGTAAAATTGATTGTTTCGTTAAAACTAATTTAAAAATTTTATTTGGTAAAATTGGAACGTGTGACATGTTAAAAATTTGTTAAATGTCCATCAATAACTTCGCTCCGATAATGGACTATTATCAATATAATGAAAGTTTATTTGTATTATTTAAGGAAAAGACGTTATTGCGGACCCATCACTACCTTCGTTCAGTAGATGACCGGAAAAAGTTAGTTAACTTGTTGGCAAGCCTCATGTGTTTTTCTAGAATACCACCGGTTAGTTATCGATTAAATTTACCATCTTATTTTCAAATGATATATGTACAAATATATTCCTCAGAAAGTACGAGCTAGGCTAACACCAGTAATTAAATTATCATTCGTGGGTCCTGGAAGGAAAATAATAAAGGAAGGCGATCCACCTTCCACGGTGTATTTTATACTGAGTGGAGAAGTGGAGCTATACAAAAGAGTTTATGATCGGGTTAGTATAACAAATAATTCTCCAACGCTAAGTTCTTCTTTAAATTATATTAAGATTTATCTTTATCAGACAAAACACATATATGTGGATAAATTAGAATCTATTAGCGGGCCAGGAGACTGTCTTGGAGATATTGAAATGATTGAAGAGTGTGATAGATTAAATACATATATTTCTCGCAGTAAGTGATAAGATTTTGAGGGATTTTAATATTGTAAAAGGTGATCTATTTCGAGGTTCCCTACTTTTTTAAAGAAAAAACGCAGAAAATTCAAATTTAATTAGGAATGTTTATTATCATTCGAAAGAACATTCTTTGGTATTTATTTTCTGAAGATTTTTCAAATTTTGGTCGCGGCTACATATCAGATGATATATTCGTTGAGTCCAATTTTCGATGACTCGTTCTAACATTTCGACTTGTAACTGGCGAATGACACGCGTGATGTTTTGCTCCATGGCCTCAATTGAAGCGGGATTGTCCGCATAGACTTAAGATTTTATATATCCCCACAGGAAAAAGTCTAACGGTGTGATATCACACGATTTTGGTGGCCAATCGACCGGCCCAAAATGTGAAATTATCTGCTCACCGAAGTGTTCTCTCAATAAATTTATTGATGGATGCGATGTGTGGGAAGTGGCGCCGTATTGTTGAAACCAAATGTCGCCAAGATCACGAGATTTAATGTCAGGCATCAAATAGTCGGTTATCATGGCGCGATAATGGTCGCCATTGACGGTTACGTTCTCAACGGCATTGTATTTGAAGAAATATAGAAAGATCGCGACGTAAAATGCGCCAAGTCGTTCCATGCGTCAGTCCGAATTGCTGCGAATGGCGCCGAATCGACTTACCACGGTCTTCTAATGAATGCTGAGTTTAAAGAAGGGTAATGGTGTTGCGAATAGTACGATCAGCAGGCCGATCATGTTAACCATAAGTTAGGCGAAGCGCGCGAAACACATTCTTTACAGAACGTGAATTATCATAATAAAGTTGAACGATTTGTCAAACAATACAAGTACTTAACAACAAAAAACAACAATGACATGATAGCTTGACACGACTCACACGTGATCTGTAAAAAAGGCTGATGAAAAAAGTACCTCTGCTTGGATCACCCGATAAATATGTAATTTAAATTAAAGTAAGGAACGGCTATATACTCGTTTGACATTTCTTTATATATTTTATTAATTAGAAGTAGGAACTGTTGCCTCAGTTATTTACTGACAAATCCATTTATTACATAAACTTCAATTATATATCTTACATATTGACCGATATTTTCGATAAAAAGGGAACTATAGGTACTGGGGTTCACATATTCAGTACCTAGTACTTTAAAAGCATTATTCACGCCAAGTTTTACCCCGATACCGTTATTGTTGCTTGATTTGCATAGTGGAAAGTGAAAGAATCAGATGGAATTTAAAATGGTGTTATATGGGGAAAAGGCGTGGTTGTAAACCAATTTCGCCCATTTTCGCACTGAATGTTATGTAATGAATGTGGTTGAAATCTGTTAAGCAGATCCCAAGATATGGGGTTTTTCCTAAAAGTGGGCGGTGTCACGGAACATTTTGACAATCGGCACACCATGAACCTTCTTTATGATATACGTTCTCTGCTCGAGAGTTGCACTAAAAAATTAAAATGACACGAATAATAGTCACTGCTACGATCGAGAATGTTTTTTATCCCTACTCCGTAATATTTGCTGATTCAAAAACAGAGATCGTATATTATAGAGAAGCTTCAATTGCGGACCAGCGTGTGAATTGTCAAAACCTAACAAGATTTTATTAGTGAATTTCACCACATCTGGCTCAGAAGGAGAAATTTTAACAGTAGCGAGTGAACAGAGCTGAGAATTCAATGAAAATTACGCTCAGAGACTTGATTTGATATTACAGCTGCATGTTGGCTTTTTAGCTTATATTTTTATACGTTTATTTGCATATCATCATATTTATTGATATGAATATCATTTTACGAATTTTTATGAATGCATGAAAAACTGATAAGATCTATTAAATTATGGAATTTCGAAATAAAATTTATAGTCAATTTGGGCATTTAATAATATTATATTATATAGTTTTTACATAATATGAATTCCTATATAATTGTATATCTTTTATCATATTAATCTTATATAGTCATATGTACGTTTATCTGAACATGCGCATTTGATTGTACGAATTCAGAAATTCAATGATATACGTTCTCTGTCAGAAATGATAACGGGAGACATCTGGCGGGGATAACTGATTGATTGATAGAACTATAAATGAAAATTATAGTATACTATTGTACAATTATTATATTCGATTTCTTAATTTGAAGCTGAGTTATAGCACCTTATACGTTTTCGTTTAATGGTCTTTTATGGTTGTAGCAATAGTGCGATTTCGCTCATTTCCAACACCAACCTTTGCAGAGTGCCAAGTGGCATCAGGACATTACAATTTTTCCCAAGTTTAATCTTTAGTACAATGTTGCAAGTTATTATCAGTTTTACATTAACTGTAATCAAGATCACGTCATCTGGTTCCCCATTGTCCACTTGATCTTTGTGTTATATCAATGTTAATTGCACAAGTCGTACCCCACAGTTGAATACTGTGCATCCAAATCGGCGTTATTACCCCGTTGTATTATATATTGTAGTTGTAGTGTAAAATGTATCCCCTAAACGACTTTTTTAAATTTTAGTTTTAAAAATAATTTTGTTAAAATTAAAATTTTAAGTACTTTTAATTAAAATTTTTTTTTTGAATCAACCGTTAAAGATAAGTTAGTGAAATTTTTAAGATTTATAGTTTAATATTTATTGTGAATAATATATTAATAATTAAAACTAATCTTATATTATGATATTGTTAATTAACTTTATAATTAATAACAGAAAATTTCGATGATTTATCGGTAAATATGTGAAGTTTCTTTTTACCAGTTATATGCTATATTTGACGTGATCTCAGTCCCGTTTTACAATCGGTATTGTGAAGTTGATTAGTTAGAATTAATTTTAGTGAAATAATATATCGTTTCATCACTGCCACGGCCACAAAACGCCACTAATCGAAAACAAATAAATTGCCATAACTAAGCTCCACAATAAGATATAAGACTGTTATTTGGTATACAGGATCACTATAGAAACATGCATCTGCAGTTAAAGTTTTTTTAAAGTGGGCGTGGTCCCATCCTCTAATAAGTTTAATGTGCCTATCTCCAAAACCGCTAAAGCTATAACAACCAGATTCATGGAAGAATTTGTTTAGCACCTTTATCTACAGTGTGAAAATGGGTAAGATCGGGTGACAGCCACGTCCACTCCCCATATAACGGTACTGTTAAAAGCTACTAAGAGCGCGATTAATCAAGCAATAAACACGCCAGAGACATTAAATTTTCTCTCTGATATGACATTAGATGATTTTATAGGAACCGCTTGACGGAGGGCAGAGAATGTTGATGAGTAGAGAAGGAGCAAATGTTAGCAATACTAAAATGTTAATTGCTAAGAAGGAACATCGAAAACGCGCAAGTTCGAAAATAAAATGTCACCACAGCTGTCAATTTACGCAACGAACTACACCACTCTATAAGCAAAATGTATATACATACATATGCGCAGATGTTCTTTGATATGCGCATAAACAAAAATTGAAATAATAAAAATGAAAGTAATTGACTTCCGACAAGAAAATATAAATAATGAGGAAATAATATGAAATATAATTAAAATATCATTTAATAAAAAGGAATATAAAATAAAAAGAGTATAAAAATCTGATAGGATTTGAACTTAGGAAAATATTTCACATTGAATAAAGAAGTCTGCATACAAGCAGCACCACAGAAATATTCAAGCTTTGGTTTAATTCGAATTCAAACAGCTATTATTGTTTAATCTTCAAATGTTCATATGTCCATATGTGAATATTCTTGAAATTCTCTTCTTTCATTCGCATGTCCAAAATATATATGTATACTTATATGTACATATGTATGTCCTCAATATCTTTCGCAAAAATCAAACATTCGCGCAAGTGACAAAAACGTAGACGCACCAGCATCGGCCAATAATATTCAAGCAAACTCGCGGCTTATTTTCTAAGTATTTTATATTCAACGACAACAAATTCATTCATAGAACGTGCGCTGCTTCAAAGCAAAGTGTGCTGTTCATAACTCTGCGCCGCGCTATTTTTCTGTGCGCCTGGTAAACTACATTTGGTTTCATATAGAATTCCTACGCATATGCGAAATAAATGAAAAATTGTAAAACGAGAAAATTCAATTTTCATGAACCACCACTGAAAATCCTACTTCCCCTCGCATTTGTATGTCACAACAAGCTGTTCCTCACAACATTTGCAAAAATCAGAAATTGAAGAATTTGTCTGATGTCTACTTAGAAAGGAGAATTGGCAACATGACCTATTCGAGTTTAAATAATATTTATATTTTCATATTATGACTATTTATGGATTAAATTATAAAATTTATATCAAATTGATTCATATGAGAATCATTAACTACTTTATATTCTAAGCACAGTCCATAGTACTTTTATATACTTTATTATATTTGTCATAAGTTTTGATTTAGCATTTATCTAAATACGACGCTATGAAATGCAGCCCAATGTAATCGCAATATTTCAAAGAGCATAGTCAACTTTCAATAGCAATACCTGCAAGGACAAAGGAGACAACATAGACCTCGAATTGTCGCAAAATTGTCTGAAACAAATTTTCATAACCTGCGATGATGCAAAATGGCGTCAGATGCATTTCGTGTATGTATGTAAAATGTATGTTTGTCGGCAAATCGTCATTTGGTTTTTCAACAACACAATGTCCGCGAACTCGCCGTTATTTCGTTGGCTTGCCACCATGCACATAGCGTCAAGTGAGGGTCAATATTGATATGTTGCTTAATTTGTATTGAAAATACTGATGCATTTATGAATTATTTCGTAATACTATATATATATATATATATATATATACCAAAATTCATACCTATAATCGTTTTCAAACTGAATTCGATAAATAAAATATATGTTCGAAATAAATTATGGCGGTCGCCCAATCCCTCCTTGCCTGCGATCGTTCAACCTGCAAAAGCAAAAGGTAGACAAAAGTCATTGCCGTGCAAGA